TAACTGGCCTCAATCTGAAGAGCCACACTTGCCTTTGGTGAGGGCAGTGTGTCCAGAAAGGGCTGTATTTGGTACAAGCATTGGACAAGGTGCAGGGCAAGGCTCAGGTTTCAAAGCTGTGTGCTCAAGCAGGATAAGGAAGGTTTGTAGCTTTCTGGATACCATGTTGGCCAAATGTTTCTGGTTACATCCTAAATGTTGCCACAGGTTCTCTGAGAGCTGTGCTCTCTGCCCAGGTCCCGGGGGTCATCTCCATTTTCTGCTGACCAGACAGACATGTCTCAGGCCTGTGGGTTAGCTTTCGTGCAGGGAAGCTGATCTTGCAGCACAGCAGGAGATGCTTTTTTCCTTAGGCTGGGTTTCCTTCTGTAGAGGTTGGGCAACCCAATCCAGCATGACTAGCAAACACCATGCTTTTCAGCATGGATGCTAGCTGCTGCTTCTCTTTGCTAACGAGTCCAGTTCACAAGCAGTCACCAGGTACCCATTGGCCAAATGCTGTAGTCCTCTTGCCTGGTATACCGGTATTTTGTATTCTTGTGCTTTGCTCCTGACCGCTTTGGGGTTGTTAAGGGAAAGTACAACTTCTGTCAGCGTGACCTTGAGGTCAGTATTTATCCCTTGCCTGTGGCCTGGCTCCAGAATTATCAGTGCCTTAGCCTTCAGCACCGCAGGTCCTGAGGGCTGGCCACGGTCCTCGCAAGGTGATGCTGGAAAGATGGATGTGCGAGCTGCTTGCAGCGAAGGTGTGAGTCAACAGTGCTTAAGGCAGTCAGCTTTCTTGCTGTGTAATACATTACAATTTTAAATGTTTGTCTCCTCTTTATTTTGGAAAATAGCTTTACTGGTGAGTCATGAAGCATTGTCAGTGTTCCCATACAAGACTGCTTATAAAGAGTGGGAACATCAGCATCATGGTGCGGTCTGCAGTAATTCTCACACCCATTGCAGTGCAGTGTGCATGCCCCCACTTCTCAAGTGTGTGGTGACCGCTGAGGCTAATTTCCCTGTCACCTGACGTTATACCATCAAATAGGACATCCCGGCTCTTTCCAATCCCTTGTTCCTGTGCTGGCATCCTCCAGTGGTGGTGCTGTGGTGCTGTGAACTGGCGGGAGCAGGCATCTCCTTGATTCTGGTGGTGGTCTGGGAAGGCATCAGTAATGGTCAGCCAGGGCTCAGTAATGTTTAAGAGTATTCTGGCTGGGTCTTTAAGAGCACAGCACTGTTTGTTTCTGTGGAGGGACATATTTCCTGCTGGAGGGTAATGTTGGTATTGGGAGCAGGGTTTATCCCACTTAATAGTTAGGAAGAGCAGAGTTTACCTTCTGTATCTTCCTGACTTTTGTCTGGAAATATTTTGTGTGTTACTACAAGAAAATACAGCTTATTGCTCTTCTTTATACCCATCCTGCTAAAAAGTGTTTGAACAGTGAAGTATGCAGTTCAGATTTGGAGCAGATACACTGACAGGCAGGCATCTAGACTTAAATATTGTAGAGCAAATTCTCTTCCAGTACAAGAGGTTTTTTTTTTTTTACTGGGGAGGATAATGGAATATGGGATGCGGTATGTCCTTCTGTTGTCAGGGATAACTCTGCTCCTGAACCTCAGCCCCCACCTCTCGTGAGTCTGGCTTGATGGGCGATCTGTCTTGCTAACTATAAATCAGTCTGTTGGAATGGGGGGATGCTAAACTGGCCTGAACGTTTTACTGCTGTCCAAGCTATAGTATTGGAGGATGCCCAAGGATCTACTTGGATGAACTGGTCTCCCTCAAGCTGTTGTGTGGATTTTGCACTGCATTTTACAGCATAATTGGAAGGACTCTGAATTTTATAAGCCAGCTAAAATAGTTGAACCCATGCCTTTGTTTAACAGAGGAAGGATGAGTAATATTTAGGCCTTCAAATAGTTTTCTGCTTTATATTTGTTTGAAACTGCTGGGAATCTTCGGTCTTTATTTGTGGATAGTATCCATGTTTAGTAATAACCCTTTACTTTGAGTTAGTCTGATGAAAAACACTAAGCTGTATCTGAGCTCTAAAGTGTCTGTTTTTCAATCCCTGTAGATAGCTTCCTCTTTAAAAATCTCTGAAATGCCATTTGCCACAAAGTATTTTTTCTCACATTCACTTTTACATGGGAAAATATTGGCTATATTGCTGGTTTCTTTAGAGCTCCTGGATAAATCTGTGGAGCAGTTGT